AAGAGTTGGATATTACACACGTTAATTAAAGTTAAATATTAAAATTATGAATTATCACAGCTAAAATGGGTGTTAACAGTAGGCATCACATTCAGTCAGGTCAACAAATAGCTGTTATTATTAAAAGCATGAAGATAATAAATAAAATTTACTTAATAAGTGAGAAGCATTTTGACTATGTATGAAATACTCCTAGAAAGTTGTTTCTGGTAGGCACTGAGGTTCTCACACTATGAGTGAGAGCAGGATCCCAAGTAAAACACTGGTTTGAACTCAGTCACAAAGCTCTTGAATAAGGGACTACTTGAATAAGTAGTCCTGTAGTCCTGCTCTGCTTAGGGTAGAATCTGCAGAAGCAGTTTAGTGTCTTTTCAGCAAAGTCTTTTCAGACTGGGGGTGTTTAGGCAATGAGGGTGCAGAGCTGACTCTGGGACCACAGGGCTGTTGTAGAATCTGGTATCTTTGGAATGCTGAGACAAATTTATCTCAAAACTCTATGATGAGATGGAAGTGCACAAATAAATGAATTTTACACTGTAATATTCAGCTCCTAGTAAGTAAACACAAACTACATGTTAGAAAATGTTCAAAATTCTGGGTTGCATATCTGTGTTGCTCTTGCTAAACAAAATTCAACACTCTTTATGGTCATGTTTGTTAAGCATTGGTTGGAGAGTCACAGTTACTTCATATTGTCAAAGTAAAAAGGAAAAAAAAGAAGCCCCACATTTCATTTTCTGGGTTTTTTTTTTGTCCCAAGATGGAATAAGGAGCTCTAAGAAATCTGACAGAAGCCATGACCTCTGCTAACCTTTCCCTATGGTCAGGCCACAAAGCATCAGCCAGGAGCTGCACCATGGGATGGTGGAGTGAGGACAGGGGCAGAACCTGCAAGTCTCTCTATGGACAGAGCTTGCCTTTGCCTCCCTAATGACTGGAATAACATTTTTTTTTGTGTCCCTCTCTGTGTGAGCATTTAGAGTCATCATATTTCTGATGGCAATGAGGAGAAACCATGAGAAGCCTTGTTAGCTTAATTTAGTCTTGAACATCACAGAGTCAGGCCACTGGCAAGGCTCTTTGGCACAGGAATTGGATCATACAGGAATATTTCTGTGTGCCTTCACACTGTTCCCTTTGGTCCACGGCTCCCTGTGGCAAGGACACCATCACAGACACGTGGGGAAGATAACTCTGAGTAAGAACAAGCTGCAGTGATGCAGTCTTGCTGTTAACTGGGGGCCTGTGGCAAAGGAGAGATGTGAGATGAGCAGCAGGAGAAGGATTTTCTAGGATATTGTACTGCAACAGCAGAGGACTGGACTTAGTCCTATGGGGCAAACTGCAGAGACACAGTAAGTGTTACTGAATTCCTATTTTACCTACTTATCTGGATTACATGAGGAAAGGAAAAACTGATGTTGTGGAGACAGAGGTATGGCTGTGTTCTCTCAAGTCCTGTATTTTGGGTACTTCCAGTATTGTCAACTGGATGGAAATACAGGAAGCCAGGAAAATAAGTGTTAGAAGATTTGTGGGTGGGACTTTGCCCTTCTTTGGGAACTCTGCTTGCCAGTTTATGTGAACCAAACCGGGATAATGTTTGTTCATCTGTTTTATTCACTGTAGTTTAGCAGTAATTATCTACACTTTACACCATATTAGTAAATCTACTCCAGAATATTATATTAGAATAATGAAGCTTTAATTATAAGAGAACTTGCTCAACAACCTTATTAATAAATCTTTGCTCAGATATGAGGGGGAGACTGCCAATTTTGGTGTGGATTAGCAAGGTTCTGCTTTAGTAATAATACTGAGTAGTCAACTAGGAATTTTAATCTTTAAAGTGCTTCTCAAGCATTAAATAATTAATCCCCATAACACTCCCATGAGATAGGCAAGTAAATATTACTATCCCTGTTATACAGATGGGGGAAGCCTGGGTTAGACTATTCAGCTAGACTGGCCTGAATCCACAGCGAGTGTAATTGCCAAAGCAATGTTTAGGACTCAGTATTTTTGCATTTTAAAAGTGAGGGATTGCCTTCCTGGAAGCTCAATGTCATTGCCAGAAAACTGAAAGTGTCATCTCAAGTGTCCCTCTTTCTTTCAAGACTGTGTTTTCTATTTCTATATCAAGGGATAAATGTCTGCATCTCTTTTGAAACAGAAATTTTCTATAAGACAGAAATAACTATATACACCCACTTATGCATACACATCCACTGTTATTTAATAGAAGATGTTCTACTTTTCTGCCAGCTGCTACATATTTATTAAATACTAAAGACATGTTTTTAAAGCAGGTTTTAATATTAATTTTTGCCCTTGAATAGTTTTTACCCATAGCAATAAAACATTCTAGAACATTTGGGAGCCCATATTCAAATTGCCTTATGGTTTTAGACCAATTTTATTAACCAGTATATTGGTTCATTTATTTAGTATTTTTTTTTTCTTTTTACACACCACAGGTTCCTGAAATTAAGTTGGTATTGCTAGAAATAAGGAGGTGGTATTGGAAATGCAGCAGGAATATGAATGAATGTTTGCGGTTCAACCAAGGTGGTCACAGGCAGAAAGGGCACTTTTCCAAAATGACTATTGATTTTTGCACTCACATCAGATAAATGATATATAGGGTAGTTCAAGTTTCAAATAACACCCAATCTCAGCTCTGGAGATTTATAAAATGAGCATTAAAAATGAGATGAACTGGATTATCTGATCAGTACTCCATACAGATAGGAGTATCTGGCTTCAAAGTATAGGCCAAGGTGCTTTAGCCATTTATTAGACAAATGTAAAAGCTTCAGGCATTCTAATGAAACTAGAAAAATCAGTTTGTAGCAGACTGCAAACTGGCATCTTCTGAAGAATATAACTGTGTTCAAAGAATCACCCCACAGTATAAGCTCCCAATTTTTACTCTATTTTTTGCAAATATAAATGCAGTGGTCACTAGTAAGGGCTACCAAACCCGTGGTGCAAGGAAGCCCAGGCATGTATCACTTGATCTGGAGGTACTTTTCAAACCACCTGTCTCTCTCCTGTGGTATGTCTAAGTTCAAGTAAGCCTGCTGATCCTCTTCCAGAAGTGATTATTTATACAAAAGGGAACAATTCCTTTGGGTGAGATGGGGTCTTATAACAGACTGCTCTATAATGTTATGGTAGGGCCTCTCCTAAGGCTTACTAGAATGGTCAATTCATCTGTTCTGCTTCAGGAAATTTGACTCCTTGCTTAATACTCTAATGAATGGTAGCACAGCCACATTTTTGGTTTGGATAAGCCCCATAAAACATGCTCTTTAGGAAAATTCTTCCCCTCCAAACTCTTTCATTAAAAATATCTGACATGGAGACATTTTATAACAAACATATTTTCACTTGACATGACATTGCTTTTTTATCAAGCAAGTATTTCAGTTTTAGTGTTGACCAAAACTGAAGTTCTTTTGATTTTCTGGATATATTATACTGAGAAAAAAATTCTGTTGCAACACTTCCTGCCAAATAAATGAGAACCATTCACAGCTGGGTGACTGCACAACTAACTTTAGCTATATTTATAGAGTATTTACATTTCTACTTATTTCAGGAAAAAGATTTATTTCATGTTATGTTTTTCTCTAGGAGGAAAAATAAAGATGATGCCCAGAAAGTTGAGGGTATAAATATGTACGATTTGTGTTGTTACTGCTGTTCATTGAGCTGAACACTGGGACTTGTATCTAACCTCTAACCTCTATCTAACCTCTCCGAGCTACATCCAGTGAAGAGCTAAGCAGAGATAAGGTGAGAATACAAGAAATGGTGGAATTAACATTTCTATATGATGCAGGAACTTTTCAGCTAGGAGGTCTCTGATGGTGATATACACACTTGAAATACATAGGAACATTTCTAAATAGCCTCTAGATGTGTCCAGCTCTGCAGCAGCAAAGCATAAGGATGTGTCTGTGTTAAAAAAAAAAAAATCTTATTTATCAACACAGACTGGAAATTAACTGGAAACATATTGGTTAGATTACCTGCATCTGCATGCACAAGACTGATAACTTAAGCCCAGTTTAGTGTCTGGTTGCTGGGGGCAGAAATTCTGTGAGCATCACACTGGAGGAGCTGCTTGAAGCTCAAAGGCTGGAAGAACATCTCTGGATATTGCTCCCTTTCTATTTCCAATCTGTCTACTTCAGTGTGGGAGACGGTCCTTATAATTGTAGCAAATTGTACTGCACTGTGCAAAGTCAGCAGCAGGCAGAGCTGAATGCATCTGGACACTGCTGTGTTTTCTGTGATGACAGCAATCAATAGGAAAATAAGAAAAAACCAAGTTTTTCTTTTCCTTTGCTTTCCAGGTATCATATCTGGGCCCTGACTCTATATTACAAATTATATGTATCTGAAAAATCTGTGCAGTTGGATCTGATTCTCTGAAGAAAATTGCTAGAAATCAAGAGGAAAGAGCTTTGTGTAAATTCAGTATAACCACAGGGCTTAATAAATGACTATTGCCTTATAGCACATTTCAAAATGTGTTCAATTTTACATTTGTTATATCTTTAAGAGGCTGCATATAAATATTGTTTGAGATCAGCACCTAACTTCCACCTTCATATTGTTAATATTTTTGCAAGCCAAGTGCCATAAAAATGAGGAAAATTACAGCTTAAACCCCAAAGTTCAAGATTTTCTACTTGAAAAGTCATATTCAGAAGATAAATTTTTGTAATGAGAAAAAGTGGAAATATAGCAGACCTATGCACTAGCAGCAGTATAACATGCAAAACTCCTTATAATTTAGGATATTAAAATACATTTGTAGAATGCATAGCTGCTGTGATATCTTAGACAATCAGTCATGAAAGAAAAGTTGAATACTGTAGAAACTATTAAGTGAGCTAGCATGTAAGAAGAAGTTGGAAAGTACTCTCTAAACAGTTATAAGAAACAAAATGTATTAGAAAGATAATATACATGCAGAGTTTACAAACCGTGTCTTTAGGGTGGCCCAATAAGTAGAAATATGGGGACCCATGCTTGTCACTTTTCATGCACATGGAGAGACTGGAAGGTACCATTCCTAAAGGAAGGGGAGGAACAGCCTAGGACCAATCATTAGAATTAACAGAACCAGTGACATACAGACATTTTTACTATTGTTAGAGCAGAGACTTCTTAGTAAGTTTAGAACAACTGAGAGAAAAGCTTATATGTAACAGGAAAGAAGTATTTCTGTAAAGCTAAGACAAATAGGCATGCTGTAAGTCTAAATATTAGTGGATTATTGAAACTACTGTACATATATATTCAGGACATAGATTCACCTGGTCTATGGATATGGAGTACATCTTGAGGTGCTTCCTGAAGGAGTCATAACAAATCAAAAGCAAAGGGTTTAATGCATTTAAGAACTGTGCCAATTTACTTGTAAGAAAAATCCTTGTATTGGTATCAACTCTGACATTTTTTGGGTTTTTTTCGCTAGGGTGGTGCTGAAGCAAGAGATGTTTCTTCAGAAATGACTTATTGCTGAATAACTTGTCAGTTTTAGCTCTTAACCAGCAATTTGCATATACTGACACTTCAATCTTTCTCCCTTAAACAGCCCAAACTGAATCTAAACTCCAGTTCTGTAAAACCACCCGTGTGTAATGAACTCGTGGGGTGAGCTGTGTACACAATTTGGCACTGTGTGAAGAAACAGAGATTCCAAAAATACTCAATGCACCCCCAGGACATGTCTTCTAATAAAGCCAAACATAGCAGGGGAAGAGAGGGAAAGGGACCATCACTGTGTAGATCCATAAAGCATCAACCATCACCACACAATGCAGATCCCTTGCTCTCCAAACCTCAGTGATTCCAGCTCCCACAGCTCTGTGTATCTGTTAGTGTCACACCACAGTGTGACCTAGAATGCTCAGGGCCAGATCCAGATGTCCAAGATAAGGCAATGGAAAAGTTTTCTAGAATATCAGTGTAAATAGGCTGGAGTCTCTGAAATTTACAGCTTCCTGCAGGAGCTCTTAAGCAACTTAAAACAAAGTGAAACTTAATAGAAACTTTATATCAAACCTTATATCAAACAGATGATTTTGTAGTCCTACAAGTAGGAACGAAAACAAATTAGTTTATTTATTATTAGTTTAGATGTTCCTTACAGGTGAAATTCAGTGTTTTTGCTACCTCTGCACTACCAGACAGAAAACAACCAGGGCAGGGACTTATGCCTTGCTGGAGGGATGGAATCCACCTAGAGGTGCTGACCTGCCTCAGCCTTCTCTGCCTTCACATGCTGTTGGCAGTCATTTGATTATAAGACTCGTTGATTTTAGAAACTTCTAGGAACTTATATATTTTAATGTACTGTGAGTAATTAAATCTCCAGTCAGGAAAGGCCAGGAGCAGTAAGCCAGAAAAAACAAGCTGCCAGGACTGCTGGGACTGAGAGTGAAACACCACAGGCTTTCCTAGGGAACTTCCTCCAAAGACATCTAGAGGAAGGACTAGGTGTTCCCACAAAAAAATGTGATTTTCTGGGGCTGATCAATCATTAGATGTAACTTGCTTCTTGCAAAACTCACAGCTGGAATGGAGGGACTGATTTGTCAGCTTTACTTCCTCTTGAACATTACCATTTTGGGATTTTGTGAACAGTTTTCCTGCATTTTGCCTTTGAGGATGATACTTCGTCCCAGTGTTTGGCCATGCTAAGTACATGTCCTTCTCATGGTGTTTCTATAGCTATGGCTAAGGCCTGAAATACATAAGGATCTGTAATGAGGCTCCCACAGTGTGAACAGGCAGATTTTTAGAGCTGCTGCACACCCAGTAGTCAGTAACCCCTTAGGTAGGTGCACACATGGGAAATTAGGCAGCCAGTGCAAGCAATGTCTTGATCCATCACTTTGTTCACATTGTTTTTAATGCTGGTGGGAGAAGTGCTCAGTTCTGCAGTGATGACTCTGGGTTTTGTGTCCTGGGACATGAATGAAACCTCACACTCTCTGCAGCCAGACTTCCCAGGCACTAAGTGCTTTTTGGGATCAGGATTCTCAGCAGTACTTCTAGTCTTTCTTGCACATTAATATGATTTCTTACTATGACTTGGTTCTCTGGAGCACTCAGCTGGCAGACTATTTCCTATGAAACATGATTCTGATGTTCTTCAGGTTTGGATGAGCTGTGATAATTCACCTCCTATGGAAGCATGGTTCCTCTGGCTATCCTTATCCTCAGCAAACATGTTCTAAGATGCTGGGTGATAAAACATCTGTTTTCAACACTTCTTTTGTTGCACCCTGCTGTGAAATCAATTCCGTTTTGGAGCATTACTCACGTCTGAGCTCCTTTGCTTACATTCTGATGGTAGCATGCCTGCTACAAGGGGATTTCTGCCTCTGAAATGGGCTGGGATCTTTGGCATTTGTTTTCAAGCAAAATCAGCAGCTGAATGGAGGTAAATTATGCATTTGCAGCACACTTTATTTCTTACCCTAGGTTTGAAGAGTGCTTCAGCTCAGCCAGAATTTTCCAAGAATGGAAATGGACAGATTTCCAGGCAGTATAAACTGACATAACTCATTCAGGAGATTTACACCCTCTCGGCAGCTCACTCTTTGTTTCTTCACTAAGTGCTTTCTTCTTTTCAGTACACATTCTTTTCTTTCTCAAATCACGTTCTTATTATTGATGAATTTTTCTTAACACTGCTTTTACAGATGTCAATCACATAATCATTCAAACACTGACATTTTTTGCACTTAAGTACATACCACCATATTTTGTACTAACAGAAACATTGCACTGGAGTTTAAAACACAAGGAAAATCAAGAAATTGAAGGCAGAAGACAATAATGTGACAGTCTTGGCTGGTTGGTTTAGATAGCTCTAGATAAGTTTTCTCCTTTTTAGTGCTGTGAATCAGAGCGTTGCTGCTGTTGGAAAGGTTTTACCACAGCATTACTAAACCTGACTTGGGAAGTCCATGACCATTTTGCCCATCAGGGACTGAGAGAGAATATCCAGGATAAACCCCTGGTACACTTGTGCTATTGCTATATTTATCCCTAGGCTTCTGCTGCACACCACCATTGCAGTCCCAATACCAGCTCTGTTCTCCAGCCTTGCATTTTTATACTCAACTTAGTCTTATTTCCCACTGATGCTCTCCACAGCTGGACCCTGATGAGTATAAGAAATATTTCTGACATGTACTCACTTAAATAAAACCTGATTATTTCAGTAAAAAGAGCTCAAATTAGTCTTGTTACATCTCAGCTGTGAAATTCTAGTTGAAGGAAGAGGGAGTTACTAAATATTGACTATCTGCTGTCCTCAGGACCATTTTGTCCTCAAGCCTACTGTCACTATCTTCTCTTCATTCACTTTTACATTTGGAAAAGATGTTTCTGGGGATCTCTGACAGATGTTCTTCGCATCATGATGACTTAACCTTGAGATCTGGCCTGCTTGAGACGTGGCCTCCCATTTTAATTGGTTCTGTTTGTTAATTTCTGTTTTTAACTTCCCAGGCAGGCTGCTGTTGGAATTTAGGTGCGCCTTCTGTTTGTTCTTGAACTACTTCTTGCACCTCTGGGAAATGACCTAGAGAGGGCTTTAATTATCTCAGTTAATTTCAACAGGCATCTTCTTATTTTGCTTCCATTCCCTCTCCAGACTGGATACAATTCTAACACTTCTCTGCCTGCATAAAGCACAGATTAAGAACTGCAGATGTGCAGATGTTATCCTTTGCTGCAGATGCTTTCTGCAGGTTGTGTGTATGCTATGAAGTAACTCCTGAACACTTTTACTCCTTTTTCAGCACAGTAGGAAAAAGAGCTTTTTTAGCTCTCCTACTTTGTGGAGCTGTAACCTGGAGATGCAGTTTGGAAAATGGTCTGATTAAAAAGCACTTCTTTGTAGTGCTTTTATTTCTCAGCAATCTGCATTTTTAAAAAAGCGGATTATTGTATTAATTGTGATATTACAGTATTCCAAATGCCTTCCCAAATGGCAAGCTTGGCTTTAAACAACACTGTAAAGTCATCTTGTTGTTTTCTCTTATCACTAAAAGCTGTTTCTGGATTTCTAGTGGTTTATATGTATTTTCTACCCATCATCTTCTGTGGAAGGCGTGACTTGTGCACATTTTGGAAGATTTGTTTTCCTAAATCAATGATACTTACACTAAAGTTTTTTCATGTTTGTGGAGTCTTTTTTAGATTTTTTTTTTTTTAGTGGAATAATGTACAATTTTATAAGATTATATAAATAACAGAAATTAATTTTGGATTTAAGTGCCATTTGGAACTGGGACCTTAAGAAGTTCAGATTTGGAATAGGTCTGAACTGCAAATGATTCTTTGCTCATTGTAGCCTCCTGGACCTACCTTAGATTAAATTGCTTTCTGAGGAACCAGAGAACTGCTGGTTTGAGAAGGATCACTACCACTGCATCAGTCCTGGCCGTTTGTTTGTTCTTTCATTAAAAATGATGCACCTCTCCCCATAAGACAGTTTTGGAGGTGACCTGAACTTCTGTTTGAGGTCTCTCTGAAAGGATTGCACACTAGTTAAAATTGATATTAAATGTCATAGTATGATTTTATCAGAGCCCCTGAAAGCCAGTTTGGCTGTTTCTACTCATCAAAAGTATAAATCACTAACTTTATTAAAAGGTGAGTGGGCTATGGCCCATCTTTTCTGCCTTTATTTAGAAGCTCTTGAAAGTTGCAAAAAATGCAGCATACACTGTCCTGAGTATTGGTTTAGCCATAGAATTAGCTCCTGTTTAGAGAAGAAAACAGTGCAATTATCATGTGTATTGACAGCTGGGAAAGAATTGACATTCAGTGTAGCTGACTTTAACAGAGGTATTGAATTTATGTTGGCAACAAAGGCTCACCTGAACCTATACTTAAGCCTAAGTATTTAAATTTTTATGTGACTATAATTTCTGATTCTAATGGGAAGGCATACTTCAAAAGTAAAAGTAAAAAAGTTTAATAGAGTTTTGGACATCATAGCATAAAGAAGTTAATGACTTTTCATTAAAAAGTAGCCCTTTTCCTGAGAGATTTAAGGCCCAGAGGTCCACATCACGGAACTTCTGTAAATATATGAAATTGTTACACCATACTATACAGTTAGCTCTGATTTCAGTTTTTAAAAAAAACCCTCTTCATCTTTGAAATTACCTTTGGATAATTTATTTTTAATTTTTGTCATTTCAGTTAAGAAATGTCTCTATATTGTCTAAATGACTCATGCGTTTTGAAATATTTAAAAAGTCACAGAAATCTCTCTGAAACAAAATATAAGAAGAATGGATCCTGTTTTCTCACCACAACAAGCAAAATCTCATGTTTTAAATTCAGAACTGGCTTCTAATTGATCATCCATGTATTTTGTCAGGGACAATACAATGGATGAAGTTGTCAAAGAAAGGAGTACATTCTTGACAAGGCTTAGAGTTCCAACCTGAGCCGCACAATTGCATGGGAACAAAATCATCTGCTGAGACTCAAAATGTGCAGAGAAGTACCAATAAGGAAGAAATTCCAATAAAGGAAGAAAAGGAGAGTTTATGGGCAAATCAGCAACTCCCAGCACGCTCAGAGATGTCCCCTAGGAGGTTTTTAGTGCTTCCTCCAATGCACATCTTGGAAGTCACTGCCTGTGTTGGGAGGGCAGCAGATGACAGCGATGTACACAGTGTAAGTCCACCCCTACACAGGTAAGCACTTAAGCACGTAAATACTTCATGTGCTCCAGGAAATTACAATATATAAATATCTGCAACTGCTACTTAATTCAAAAGCAATATAGTTAATTTATATAGAGTCATGCACATTTAAAAATGCAAAGATGAAAACCCACCATATTCTGGGACCTGGCCTGTTCCACGTTTCAACAACAGTCGCACTCTTCTGCCACCAGACTTGATTAGCTCTATTGCTCTGGCATGTGTCATGTCCCTTGTGCTTTCTCCATTGATTTCAATTATTTGATCTCCTACCTGTCAGGTAAGAAGAATATTGAGTCAGACAGAACTGCAGTAAAATGAGTGTTTCAGGAAGAGACATATTCAATGGATCACAGGTTACTTGAATGACAGGCAGACACATCAAGGTAAATTTGTTCCTGTCTATCTGAGGAATATTACTGGCAGATCAAATAACCTCCAAAGTGGATTCTCAACATGGTATATCAAATGCTGCTTGTCTTCTGCTGAAATCAGTGTAATGCCTTTGTAACTTGCTCACATCTTCTGCATATAAGAGGCTTTGTTGAATTGGCATAGCAGAATCAGCGGAACGTTATCTGCGCTACTCTGTTACACGCAGTGTTGCGTGAGCCTGAGAAGAACTTCGTTGCACTTGCTGTTTTCATAGAGAAAAGAGAGGTTCAAAGCACAAATAGAAACTTCCATCATTTGAATTTCCAAACCTCGGTAGTAAATTTTCACACCAAATTAAGAGTCGCTATGAAGCACCTATTAAACAAAGAAAGTTTAGTGCTATGACACAGGACAAGCAGGTTTGCTGGAGTTCAAAGAGCATTCTTTGAACTATTTACCACAGGAGCTTTCTGCTGGGAGTAATCACAGCCTGTGGCTGAACTGTCTAGTTAGAGCAGCTGAACTCCAGGGTTCTGATTATGGATTTCTGCCACTCATCTCCTGGCCAGATTTCCAGTTAGAGCTGGCTTCATGATTATTTTTCTGCTCTATTTCTACAGCAGTTAAATGTGGCACTGATGTCTGCACATCCCATCCACCCCAACTTCCTTGGCTTTGCCTCCAGCCTGCATGTTTTGGTTTTGGCTGGCTTTCCATGCTGGAAACCTTCTCCTTCAGTAGGGGAGCAGTTGCTTTCTGCTGTGCCTGGTCAGCACAGCTGAGAGCAATGTAAGGAGCACACTGCACAGCCTGCTGTGATGCCCCTTTGTGAGAGCCTTGAACAAGAAACACAGTGAGGTGACACGTGAGCCTGCTGTTAGCAGCACCACAGCCTTTGGAATTTGTGTCTTGCAGAAGCCTCCTAGCTCCCTTAGTGAAACCCAGAAGGAGGGATGATCTCCTGGTGCTGGTAGTGGTGCAGGTCCAGGTGATGGGCAGCCAAGAGTAGGGCATGAGGGTCTCAGGTGAGTGGGCCAGCACACTCATTTGTCAGTGCCAGAGGAACACCTTTGTTCAGCAGGATCTTACCTGCCTCACTCTCCACCTACAGCTTCCTCACAGGATGTTTTCACCACACTAAAACAATGCCTACACATCCTAGAGAGGAAATGATACAGACTTCAAGGTCTTTCTTTCCCTCTTACAAGACTGTCTCAACAAAACCAGCTCTCAGCTGGCATTGGACACTGAAATATCTTCTATTTTGTATGTTTTCTTTGCTACAATTGTACTTCTGTCAGCTCAAAGTGTAATCCTTCAGAGGTTTTCCTTCTTGCCTGAGTTTGAAATATAGCATTTACCAAATAAATGTGTACGATATGAAATGTCAACACAACTCCTAGCATCAAAGAAAACTGGAAAGGTTGTCAAGAACTTGTCTAGGTCCTTACTTTTAGAAGGACTTAGAACTTATCTAATCCTTTTCCTCAGAGACAGAAAGAATGCTAGTAGAAGTACTATGGCAGTGTTTCTCAATAGGAATGAATAGAATTCATATTTTTCAATAGGAGCTGCATTGTCCCACGATCCTGTATGCAATCTATGCTGATACTCTGTGTAACTAAAAAGCCATTGATCCAAATAAGCCCTATTAGCTTTGCTATTACACTTTGTAATTGCTGCAGTGTTAAGAGTGGGGGAAAAAAATCAGAATTATTTTGTGCAGGATAATTTTTGCAGTGCAAATTTCTTCCTCAGCTGATTTTCTCTCTTATGAAGAATGCATTTGGTTGTACCATGCAGTGCAAAATTTAAACTATTTCTGATAGCCTTCAGGTCACACTGACACACAACACAGGTGCTCTCTGGATCATGGTGAGATCTCCCCCAGGTCTGGCCATACAGGGCTCTCTGCATCCCCCAGACTTTTGGAGAATGCAGCTGGCTCACACACTTGGAGCAAAAAGAGAAAATCTGTGTTACGACTCCTGTAACACAGAAGATGCATTTGTAGCATCCCCACAAGGATATTAATCAGGCCAAATACAGAAAAAATTCAATGATTTTGGGAAAACCTGTTTCTAAATGTCAGTTCTTTCTTTTTGTGGTACATTGCCTGGGTAGACCATATTTTGCAGAAGGTATTTAAAATGTTGTTAGCATGTCTTGAGAGAAGTGCCAGATTAGATCAAATAAAAGAGGTGTTTGTAACACTCCTTGATGAATAGCTTTTAAAATTAGTACTGAAAGCTGCATAGAGAATGTACAGTCCTTCAAATAAAATCCTCTGCACTCCAGAACAGACAGACAGAAAGATTTTAATACAGTTTAATATGTAAAAAGGTTAAGTTAATGTCACATTTTTCCCTTGCTGTTTGCCTTCTGTTTTCACTGGTCAATATGTAGGAACTATCTTGTATTAAAGTAACCTTTTCTGTATTTCTGTGAATTCACTTTTTTTTTTTTCTCTGTAGGCAATGTAGCTCATTTGGTATTTACTTTCATTATAAAATATTGTAGTTGATTTGATATTTCATTTTCTTATAAAATATTATGTGCAAATAACTTGAGAAAGCTTTAAAAAAAGGCTAGCATCTTGGTTATGTGACTGAAGGAGGGGACAGTAACAAGTTTGCAAAAACTAGGTGCTCTGAAATCTACATCAGAAAGGGTGAAACCAGAGGTATAATGAATAGTTGCAGGAGCAGTGGGTTAATTGTGTTCCTTGCTTTTGTGTCTTGTGGCTGACTAATATACAGCTGAATTATACTGCCTTTGCAGCACAAATCCATCTCTGGTTAGATGAGAAAACAACAAGGAAAAGTTGTCCATACTCCTTCCTCAAGAAAAGCTTCAATTAGACTTTGCACTCATATATGGAAATTCATACAAAAGAGAAAACCTTGGCTGAGGAGTGGTTCCCCATGTGTCAGCAAGGTAGAATTCTTGTTTTTTTCCTTCAGTTAAATCTTGATAACCTTCCTTTCCCTCCATGATGTAGATTTTCTTATGGTTGATATGGGACAAAACCATGCTGTATGTTTTCTCTTTGTCCAGGCATTCAAATATGCTTTCTCCCTCAACTTTTCTATTGTGGAATAAATTGTTAGATTTGTGGAACTATTTCTATATTTTCTAAATCCAGTGGTTTTTAAAGAGTGTCTCAGATATACGCACATATTGAAGATACACCAAGGTGAGGCCAGAGGTAATTGCAAGCATAAAATCAGTGTCTGTTACATGAAATCCTGATTTCTCTTTTTAGTATCAAAAGATGATTCCTGCAGTTTATACCACACAGAATTTCTCTACACTTCTCTTCTGGATCCTTCCATGTCTGTTCACAGAGTCTAAACTGAAGATATTATGAAGGCCAAACAGATGAAAATGATAACATTTTTTCCACATTTACTAATAATAATGTTCACAGAACAAATTTCTTGCCTTTTTGTAACACATCAGATTTGCAACCTGCGGTCAGTTTGGATTCTGAGCAGTTACCTCACATTTATCATTGTGCATCTGATTTCTTTGCCCTAAACTGAGCACTGTACACCTCTGTGACTTTTATCAGATTGACTGCTTTAGTACGAAATTTTTATTTTGAAACAGTCTGTTTCTCAAGGTCTTTTAAAACTCCCTATGAATAGTGACATACTGGCATCAGCAAATTTTATTTTATTATTTATCAGTAGGTCTCCAATTATTAATGGAATATTGAACTGAGTTGGTTTCATTCCAGACACCTCAGAACTACATTTGTAATTACTATTAAGGAGCAAATCATTCAGAGCAGTCTTTAAGCAGTTTTCTCCTTATTCTGATTTATACTGATTTCTTTGTTTATGTTTTTGGGAACATCTCAATGGAGACTGATATGAAGAAAACATTGACTATTTCAACCATCTCATCAGGCAGTAGATCTCTTTTCTCGCAGTTCTTCATGTTCCTTTAAACATGTGAAACAGCTGGATGTATCCTCTCCCATCCTAACAGGCAAGCCCTGCATGTGGGACACTCCCCAGGCTGGTATCAGCTCTGGTTTTTAACCTTCCTGGTGGTCTTCAGCAAAGACTACAAAGCAGGAGTGATTTACCTTTATGTCCTCCAGGTGTTTTCAGCAGCTTAAGGGTGAATCATGTTGGCAAGACAGCCTGGGATGCTTGCCTGGCTGATGCTCAAGCTGTATTTATTCTGAAGAAACCCATTCTTTGCAGCTATGAATCTGGAAATTTTATACACAGTGCTTTTACATTGTGTTTCTTTCTTCCTGAAGAACATTGCCACTGCTGGGTTTCCATGCTGTTTGGGAAGAATACCTACTGAAACACACTGCTTCTCCTCCTCACCCAATGCCACTTGGTAAGCAGAACGCTCCTCTATTATATTCTTATGATGTGCAAGCACAAAGTAAACACCGAATGCTTCACCCCCTTAATGTTTTGAAATCTTTTAAAATGAAATTATGAAAGTAGTTTGTGTGTATGGAGAGTGTTTCTTTACAAAATCTGTTTCAGTTCAAGTTAATTCAGATGCACCATCCATGTGTAAGAACAACTGAGCTATAAAATTGGGCAACATGTTTTCTGGCAATAATGAGAAGATAATATTCCTAAGGAATGTTTAAGTAACATTATTATTGATAGGTTAATTAGAAAGAAAATTGTAAAGCTTCTCCAAATCATTAGAATAAAGTGCCTCAAGTATATGTGGGTTTATCTGCAGAGCCTTTGTTCTGGCCATATTTTAAAGCAATTATTACTGGTCTTGTTAAAAAAAGCCAACCATACACACAAACAGAGTTTCAGAAACAGGGTGAAACAGAAGGGAAGCATATATAGCTTTAATGTATTAAAGAGGTTTTTCCTTGCTTGAGTGTGCTTTTAAACTACAGATGA